CCATTTATATAGTAGAGGAGTCCTACTTTAGGTACAATTCTATAAAAGGTAAAAAATCTCTTGTTTTGTCGATTGTCAGTTCCTCATTGATACGTGCCGAGATTCCCGCCGTAATATCCGACCGATCACGGATATTTCGGTCTTTTATTATGCTAACAATGTTTCTTCGAGCACGTTCGGGACTAGGATCGATTCTGGGATCACGACCTCGATATTCTTGAAAGCGGGCGTTCCAACCCCGGGTTCTAGCCCGGTGAGACTTGGGGTCAATCTTCAGTCCGTTATTGCCATGTTATGAACTTGACCTACCATGTCGAAGGCGAGCTCGATTTCGACCGTATACAGATAGTCCCCTGTTTTTCGGAGAGTAGATGACGAAAAACGACATGAGCTTCCGGTTCTTACTTCGATACCCCGCGACAGAAACGATAAAACAAACGAAACATCTCGTCAGTCAAGTCTTAATGGCATTAAATGCATGTCAGCCACCGGTCGACTATTACTAGATGTGAATTGCCACTGAAATACTATAAATACCTCTTCCTTTGTTCATTCCAACTTTACATTCAAACCTTCTACCCTCGTACCTTCAAAATTTCAATACTTTCTAGCAGTTATACTTTGGTTGTTTGAGATCCTTTGCAAGAACCCTTGTTCATTTCTATCTCAAGCCATCAAGTGTACTCCTTTAACTTCCTCGTTTTCCTCATTTTCCCTCCATTTTCAAAGAAATGACGAAGACTTCAAAAACCGTTCCCCAAAAAGAAACTCCTTCTACCTCGCGGCCGGCTACCGAGGAGACCGCTTCGCGTATTGCTGTCGAGGAACCAGTACCGAAACCCACATTGAAAATGTTCGTCCCTAGAGGGTGCTCGGTAACCGCCAATTTCAAGATTGTAAAACCTTCCCCCGTACAAGGCCGGTGTGAGGAGGTCTCGAGATACACATGCTCGATCACTGAAGAAGTCCTCCCTATGGTAAAAAAGGATTGCAACTGGGTTGACAAGCACATGGTGGTTCCCGGACCCAATGAAGACATCACCATCCATATCGAGGGATACTTAAGTGTTTACACTTATCCATTTACACTGGGCTCATTGGATCCGGTCATCATTAACTTCTGCAAAAGATACGAGGTATGCCTCGGTCAAATTCACCCCTCATTCTGGAGGATCGCGATCCTTCTTCGGTTCTTTGTGAGCAAGATCCAGATCGATGGATGCTCATTCACCGTCGACCACCTCATGCACCTATACAGTTGTAACACCCCGAAAAATTTGAAGAACTTAAGTGTAAAGCCCGGTAGACTTTGCAAAGAAAATAATATTTTATGGTGCCGGACTAGGCTTATGTGTTTGAGGATTATACTTTTTGGGCCGGCTCGGACTTTTTGGGTTGAACAATGCACAGGAAAGTAAAAGAAATTTTTTGACGGAATAGTGTATTTCTTCGGTCCATTATGCGACCGCAGAATCACTCTGCGGACCGCATAATGGCCGCAGAGTGAGACAGTTAATTAGGTCAGTTGGAAGCAATTATGGGTCGACTATGCGACCGCATAAATATTATGCGGTGAATTATGCGATCGCATAACAGTTATGCAGACTGCATAGTAACCGCATGCACAGACAGCCTTTTTGATCATTTTATCAGCAATTATACGACCGATATGCGGTCCGTATATCCATTATGCGGTCAGCAGAACTGTTCCGGAACTCTATTTTGGGTTTTTAAAAATCGACCCTATTTCGTTAAATATACTCTTTGGGCCATTTTTGAGCCATAATATGATATTTTAGAGTGAGAGAGAGTGCCCTAGAGTGAGAAGGTGTTCTTCAATAATTTTCTTCAATTCTTGCTCAAGTTTTGGAAGATTTAGAAGGGAAGCTCACTAGGTCTTCATCCGAGAGGTAAGATTCTACACCCTAAATCCTAATTTTGAAATCTTCTGAAAATAGGTAACTAGCAAGGTAATTTTTGGGTATGAGAGTTGTTTATTTTACATGCATGTGTTATCAAAGGGTGTCGGAAGATTGTTGAGCTAAAAATGATAAAGCTTGAGTTGTGGGATGATGGAATCCTTCGTAAAATGGACATTGAAACCTTATGCACATCTAATGTTTGATAAAATGCTCAAGTGAGCTAGAACCATGATCATCTTCCAAATTTTGATTCAATTTGTTATATTTCTACAATAGATTGAAGTTGCTATGAATTCCGGAATGTTTTAGAGTTTAAGAAAGCTCAAGTGAGGTATGTTGGCTAAACTCTTCTCTTAGAATTGAATCCCACGATATTCATGTAAATTATGTAAGTCCCGAGTGATTCATTATGAAACTGGCTATTCCGATTAAGATTGAGTTTAAAGATATATGTTCAACAAGTATCCCAAATGCTTTACTCATGTTATGTTACCAATTGAGGATGTGTTAAAATATGGGCTGTGCATTAATAATGTTCCCACTTTAAGTCAAGTTCAAATGAAGGCTATTATGCCAAATTTTGTGAAATATCTGTATGTGCTTTAGACTCTAAATTGCTCATATGTGTACTACATACCTTGATTTGAATTGTATTTGTTGTTGATGATGATGATGATAATTGAAATTGATAAGGTGAGCATGAAATACTGAATATGGCCAACGTGCCAAGAATGATCTTATAATTATGGCCATTAGTGCCAATGAGATGAAAAGATGTGAAAGTAATACGAAATGCGATGATTGATATAAAAAGGTTGATGTCTCAAATAAGACAGCCTAGCCGGTCGGGTCGTGATCGGATACCATGCCGCACACATGATGGTGATTGTGCTGGAAATTTATAATTTGAAATTGTGATTGTGATCGATGTCCCTAATGGATAGCCTAGCCGATCGGGTCGTGATCGGACTCCGTGTTAAAGACGGTGGTATTGATATTGAGAGAAATTGTGGTTGATGTCTCTAATGAGATGGCCTAGCCGATCGGGTCGTGATCGGACTCCGAGCTAAGAGTACGGTGGTACTGGTTTTGTGAATAATAGTATTGTGGATAATGGTATATCGATACTAAAAATCTCCCAATGTGAGATATGAGAATTAATTTAAACACTGTCTTGATCCTAAATTAAGGTTTGATGTTAATTAAATCTTTCATTGATATTATAATAATCTTGTTTGTATTATTTGTGATTCTATTGAGGGACTGTTTAGTTATACATACTAGTGCTATTCGACGGTATTAACGTCCCTTTTGCCGGGGGCGCTGCATCTTTAAATGGATGAAGGTGGTTCCACAGCATGAGATATTGATCAGTGATAGCATTACACCTTCCTCCTAGCTGACTCGGTGAGCCCCACTTCATTCCGGGGTCATGTATCTTTTGTACTTTATATATTCAGTTTGAGGTATAGCCGGGACCTTGTTGGCGGCATTATCATTGTACTCCTCTTTATCTATAGAGGCTCCGTAGACATAGTGTGGGTTGTGTATTGGTGCTGGGAAAGACAAACTACGTTATGTTGTGGTTGTAATACTTGTTCTAGTTAAGACGACTAAAAATGATGGAACTATTGGTAATGAATTTGTATTGTGAACATGATCACCTTTTTGTCTAATTAATGAAAATATGTATTATCTTCATTCGTGGATGAGTTTGGGTAGAAGAAAATCTAACAGGCTTGCTCGGTCGGGTTCACTCGATTGAGCGCTGGTCGCGCTCCTCGATTTTGGGGCGTGACAACAGTCCCCGAATCTTTCGGGGGGGAGGGGGGAGGGTCTGATCAAGCTCGCGCACCGGGCCAGTAAAGCCCCGTTCTCGAGTATTGATGAAGATCGGAATCGAGGCTGACTAGGTTGTTTCGTCCAAGTGAAGATCTCGGACTTGATCCTAGGCGAACGCATGCCGTTCCCCGAGAAGTGGAATATACCATGTAAGTAAAATTTCGTTTTCAAAATCTTATTTTACGATTTTTTCCTTCCTTCTTATCGGTGCTTTGTGGTGGTGCAGCTGTCGCTCAGGTCCCGAATGCAGTCCCTCGACTCAAGGAGTGGGTCGAGGGCATCGTGTTACAAAGTCCATATTCCGAGCGATCATGGCGCGAACTTTCAAAGGGTCGGTGGGAGGCCCATTCTCATGGTGAGATTCCTTTCCTAAGTAGGTAATATTTGGGTTCCTTTCGTGTCATTAAGTTCTCACTTGTTTCATTTCCTTTTGTAGGTTTATCCAAGGACGTGACACTGAGGCCTCCATCCGGTGGCGAGAAATTCTCCGCCGAGTCCCCTGCTTCGAGTTCTCCATGCTCGGAGAAGAAGAAACCAAGGAGAAGGTTGGTGCGCAAATCCAAAGAAAGCATAAGAGCTCGAGCACCATCTTCGGATGCACTCTATCGGTTGAGGGACGAATCCGAAGAAGAAGGAGAAGCCTTCGATCTGATGGCTCGCGTGTCATTGCAACTCGAAGGGCAAAGGGCCTCCGAACTGAAGAGAGGCGAGGCCGGATTGCCTCAAGTTAGGGAGGCTGACAAGGAGACTGTGGCCGAAGCTTCCCGAGATATGGGCAATACCCCAAAGAAAGCACATGGTGTCATAGACATCACCGAGTCGCCCTCGTTCACCGAGTCCATGTATAATGGGGCTCTGACGGTGATGGAACGTCTCAATAAGGAGGCCCACGGAGCGGACGACCCCTTCTGCGGATTTTTTGTTGGCGTGGATTCTACCGCCACGGAGGACGTCACCGGATTGGGTGACTTGGAGGTGCAGAAGAAAAATCCATCTTCAGGAACAAGCAGGCCTTCCTCAAGCCCGAAACTAATCAATCGGTTCCCAGCTCCGAGTGTGGATCCTGACCGGGTCCTCTCTACCCCCGTAGGGATGGCCAGTTACCTTCGGTGTCTAGTGACCGAGAAAGACCAAGACAAGATGAACGAGCTGGACACGCCTTGCCTGTTCAACGACGCACAACAGGTGCTAAACCGGGTAACTTCAGATACCTCTTGATGACTTTTAATTTGTACTTAGACTAATTTATAGATAATCCTAACATTTTTCTTTGTGTCTGTAGGCCTCGGTGCTTCATCATGAGACTTTTCTCCGATATCGGGATGAGCTAAACCAGCTTGAGGCCGAGGTTCGAGGGCTCACTGAGAAGAGAAATACTTACAAACTTCTCAGCGAGCAGCGTGAAGGGGAGGCTAAGAGCCTCTGAGCTGAGCTGGAGGTGTCTCGGAAAGAGCATACTGACCTGGCCGAGAAGATAAAAAGCATTTGAGGTTAGTGATGATGAGCTAGACTCAGTGACTAATGGTCGGAATCCGTAGGTCCAACAGAAGATCAATCGGATCGACCAGCTCCGAGCTGAGATGGATGCAGTTAAGGCCGAGACTGAAGAATGGAGAGGCAGAATGGATCGCCTAGCCTCGAAAAAGGAGACGACTTGGGAACAACTGACTTCGGCTGAGGTCCAGCTTCGAGAAGCAAAGGAAAAGGCCGAGGTGCAGGCCAAAAAGTTTAAGGAGCTCCAGTCTTAGCTAAGTACAGCCGTCTCTGATCGAGAAAATCTTGCCAAGGATCTTGAAATGACCAAGTCGATGATCTTGGTGGTTAAAGCCGATGCCGACGAGATGGTGTCCCAATATAAGGCCGATGCCCAGGAGGTCCAGGATCGAATGAAGGATATCGTCGAGCAAGCAAAGCGGCAATCCCGAAGGGAGGCCCTCGAGGAGATTCATGCTCGGGGTTTTGACTTGTCGGCCGAAATCGAGAGTGCTAAGGGGCTCGAAGTCGAGGCCAAGAAGCTGGCTTATCCCGAGGATGAATAAGGCTCTGAGGGTTCAAGCGGATCCGAGGGTGGAGGAGACTCCGATGACCCTGGCGACGAGGCGGGCTCCGGTGAAGACCAGGCCATTTATGTGCCTTGTACATTTTTCTTTGTTTTTTGTATTTTTGTACTTTTGTACTTTTTTGTCAAGGCCGTTTGGCCCTTGTAAAGACTATATGTATATATAATACAAGGCTTTATTTTACCTTCGACAATTTTTGAGTTTTGTTATCCTTTGCTTTATTCTTTATGTTTGCAAAGATTGAAATGCCTTAGCATAAAACAGATAGGTCATGTTCGGAGGTTCGAATAGGCCTTGCCTTCGATATTATTTTGTTTAAGGCATCATGGGGGTTCGGTATGACCATAACCTTTCCCTAAAGTACTTATAATTTTTTAGATTATAGTTTGCAAGATTGTATCCTTTAGAACCGGTTAAGAAATATTTCAAGGCCTTATTTTTTATTACGGGTGTCGGACGTCTCTAAGCCATTTTAATATGGACATAGCCTTTTAGTTAGGGTGTTTCCTAGTGGGCTTGTCACCTCGAGTTATCCGGACTTGCCAAAGATAACAGTCCTCGAATGGGGATGGTCGTAGCCTTTAAGGTTCGGGCGCTGTATAATAGGTTTTGTGCCCTCGGGCTCTGATAGCCCGGGCCGTTAGAGTTTGTTTCTGGATGGCAGTCCCCGAGTGGGAGTGATCGTTTGAACCCGGATAAAGGCGACCCTTGGGCTCGATACCTTTAGGGGATCGAATGTAGGAAATTCAGAAAGAAAAGAAAAATTTTAAGGGACAAGATGTTTATCCTCAAGGTAGAGACTTCCTTTTATTTTTGTGCATAATATATACGATTACACATGCATACAAGCTTTATGTCAGGGCTCGAGCAGTCTATATGGGCACGGTTCATTCGACCATTTTTCCCTTACAGTAAATCCTATCGATCGAGCCGAGACCATTCAATCGCAAAGTTTCTTTCCTTACTAAAGTCGTTATCCGAAAGTAATGCCCCCTAGTGTTCGGGGCCGATCGTAGAGAGGCCTCGAATACTGTTGTCATGATCTTCAATACTGGTTCATAACCAGCCTTTGATTCTAAGTTAGCACAATTTGTTGTTGCCTCGTAAAAAACCTTGCCGAAAAATCCATTTGGGACAAAACCGGTTCAAGGGAAAAATAGTGCAACGCGTGCTTTCAAGCCTAAAAATTGTATCGTTTTTTGATGGTTGCCTGCAAGTGTTAGTTCGAAATGCAAATAAGTAAAAGGAACGAATGGGGTCGTACCTTAGCAGTAGTATCACTTCAAGTGAGTTATATTCCAATTGTTCAGTAGTCGTTCACCGTTCATTGCTCCGAGTTTGTATGATCCCTTTCCGGTAATCTCGATAATTTGATATGGCCCTTCCCAGTTCGGCCCCGGCTTCCCTTCGTTCGGGTTCCAGGTGCTTAGTGTGACCTTCCTTAACACTAAGTCCCCCACATTGAAGTGTCGAAGGTTGACCCTTCGATTATAATACATCTCGATCCGCTTTTTTTGGGCGACTAATCAGAAAAGGGCGGCTTCGCGCCTCTCATCTAATAGCTCCAGGTTCGAGTTCATGGCCTCGTCGTTTGATTCCTTGGTTGCATATCGAAACCTGATACTTGGTTCTCCGACTTCAATCGGTATTAGAGCGTCGGCGTTGTAAACCAGCGAGAACGGGGTGGCCCCGATACTGGACTTCGAGGTCGTACGGTATGCCCATAGGACTTCGGGCAGGAATTCCTTTCATTTTCCTTTGGTGTTTGTTAACCTCTTTTTGATGTTTTGGAGTATGGTTTTGTTGGTCGACTCTGCTTGTTCGTTCCCACTAGGGTGGTAGGGTATTGATAGGATCCTTTTGATCTTATGGTCTTCGAGAAACTTGCTTACTTTGCTACCGATGAATTGTTTCACATTGTCGCACACTATCTCGACCGGCATTCTGAACCGGCATATGATGTGGTCCCAGATGAAATCGATGACTTCCTTTTCACCGACCTTCTCGTATGCCTGGGCTTCCACCCACTTAGAAAAATAGTCAGGCATAAACAATATAAATTGAGCCTTACCGGGTGCCCATGGAAGGCGGACAACGATGTTCATTCCCCACCTCATGAATGACCATGGTAACAAAACCGAATGCAGTAGCTCCCCGGGTTGATGAATCATCGGAGCATGTCTTTGACATTCATCACATTTTCGTACGAACTCCTTCGTGTCCTTTACCATGTCGATGCAGTAGTAGCCGACTCTGATTACCTTTCGAACCAATGATTCGGTGCCTAAATGATTTCCGCAGGTGCCTTCGTGAATTTCCCTCAGAACGTACTTGATATCTCCTAGTCCTATACATATCGCGAGCGGGCCATCAAATGTTCTTCTAAACAGGGTTCCATCTTCGGACAAGCTAAACCGGGTTGCCTTCGTACGTAGGGCCCTCTATTCTTTCGGATCCGAGGGTAGTTTTTCGATCTTCAAATATTCTATATATTTGTTTTTCCAGTCCCAAGTCAAGCTCACTGAGTTTATCTCGGTGTGGCCTTCTTCCACTACCGATCTCATGAGTTGTACGACCGCCCCCGAATTGAACTCATCGTCCTCGACTGCCAACCCTAGGTTAGCAAGGGCATCGGCCTCACTGTTTTGATCTCGAGGTACGTGTTGTAGAGTCCACTCCTTGAATCGATGTAAAACAACATGCAACTTATCCAGATACCTTTGCATTCGTTCCTCTCTAACCTCGAATTTCCCATTAACATGGTTCACCACAAGGAGGGAGTCGCACTTATCTTCGATTACCTCCGCCCCCAAGCTTTTGGCTAGTTCGAGACCTGCAATCATGGCCTCATATTCGTCCTCGTTGTTAATCAATTTTATAGTCCTAATAGATTGTCTAACTACATTGTCTGTTGGTGGCTTCAATACGATGCCAAGTCCGAACCCTTTTGCGTTCGAGGCACCATCCGTAAAGAGGGTCCAGATCCCCGAAGAAGTCCCCGAGTTCAACAACAACTCTCTTTCGATCTCGAGTATTAGGGCCGGCATAAAGTCGGCCACAAAGTTTGCAAAAAATTGAGATTTAATGGTGGTCCGGGGCCGATATTCAATATCATACCCACTGATTTCCATTGCCCATTTGGCCAACCGTCCCAAGATCTCAGGCTTATGCATTACATTCCTCAATGGGTAAGTAGTCACAAAACATATGGGGTGACATTGGAAGTATAGTTTTAGCTTTCTAAAGGCGCTTAGCAAAGCGAGCGTCAGCTTTTCTAGGTGAGGGTACCTAGTTTCGGCCTCACCAAGGGTCCTACTAACATAGTATATTGGAAATTGCGTACCTTTCTCTTCTCGGACCAGGACTCCACTTACCGCTATCTCCTATACTACCACGTACAGGTACAGTTGTTCGTCTGTCTTCGGCGTGTGAAGTAGCGGTGGGCTCGATAGGTATCGCTTGAGTTCCTCCAAGGCCCGTTGGCACTATGGGGTCTGTGAGAAGTTATTCTTCTTCTTCAACAGTGAGAAGAATCGATGGCTCTTATCGGAGGACCTCGAGATAAATCGCCCCAGGGCGGCTATGCGTCCGGTTAATCTTTGCACGGCTTTCACATTGTCCGCAACTGTGATATCTTCGATGGCTTTGATCTTGTCGGGGTTAATCTCGATTCCGCGGTTGGATACCATGAATCCGAGGAATTTACTGGATCCAACTCCAAATGCACACTTCTCCGGGTTTAGCTTCATATTGTATTTCTTCAATATGTTGAAAGTTTCCTGCAAATGTTTCAAATGGTCCTCTGCTCGCAGGGACTTGACCAACATATCGTCAATGTAAACCTCCATTGATTTTACTATTTGTTCCTCGAGCATCCAGTTTACTAGGCATTGGTAAGTGGCACCGATATTTGTTAATCCGAATGGCATCACGTTATAGCAGTATGTGCCATACTTAGTGATGAAGGAAGTTTTTTTCTGATCGCCCAGGTTCATCCGTATTTGGTTGTACCTAGAGTAGGCATCGAGAAAACTGAGGATCTCGTGGCTGACCGTGGCATCGATCATGCGATCGATGTTGGGCAAAGGGAAGGAGTCCTTGGGACATGCCTTATTCAAATCCTTATAGTCTACACACATTCTTAATTTATTCCTTTTTAGGGACTACCACTACGTTTGTTAACCAATCCGGGTATTTAACCTCTCGAATGGACCCTATTTTAAGGAGTTTAGATACCTCGTCCTTCATGAAAGCATATTTGACCTTGAACTGGGGTCTCCTCTTCTGCTTGACCGGGTGAAACTTCAGGTCCAGGCTTAGCTTGTGAGTGGTTATCTCCGGCGGGATGCCTGTCATATCAAGGTGGGACCAAGCGAAACAATCTTCGTTATATATAATAAATTGAATGAGTCTTTTCCTGAGCTCGGGACTTAACCCCGTGCCCAGGTATACCTTTCGATCGGGAAAATGTTCGGTTAGTACGATTTGTTTCGGTTCCTCGACCGTTGATTTTGTGGCGTCGGAATCGTCAGGGACTATGAAAGATCTGGGGACTCGGTAGTCGTCGTCATTATCTACCCCTCGTTCCTCCGATCATATCGAGGCTGGTGTCAGTGATTGCTATTTGGCCCCGTCTTTGACCATCCGATTCGGATCCTCCGATGTTGAGAGTGTGGATAACGGGATCACCTCATCGATCGCGAACATCTCCTTGGTGGCCGGTTATTCCCCATAAACCGTTTTGACTCCTTCGGGTGTTGGGAATTTCAGCACCTGGTGCAGTGTCGAGGGTATTGCCCTCATGTTGTGAATCCAAGATCTTCCGAACAGAGCGTTGTATCTCATATCTCTTTCGATTACATAGAACTTGGCTTTCTATACGGTTCGCAACGTTACCGCGTTTGGAGGAAAAGGTTTTTGCACGAACTTCTTGAAATCTAGGCCTTTCAATATCGGCGGTGCGCCTGGGATTTGGTCGACCCTGGAATTGTAGGTTTCTACCTTTTTGTCATTAGTTTCGATTTTCTTTTCCCCTGATTCTACCCGTTTTGTCAGTTCCTCGAGCATCTTTATAATCTCGGGGTTAGTCCCCGATTCGTTTTCATTCGACCTCTTTGCGACCGATTCATCCCTGCGGTTGACTTTCTGGGACTGATCGGGTTCAATTCTGCTTGTACGCGGTTTT